ACTCCCAGGACCCCGTTCAACAGATCGCCGGCTTGGGCAAGTTCCTAGGCCAGGAGGTCAGCGAGCAGTTTGCCACCAGCGTAGCAGACAAGTGCAGCTTCGTCAACATGAAGTCGAGGAAGGGACAGTTTGAGACCGGAAGTGACGGCGAGCCCATTATGTACAGGAAAGGTAGAAAGAGCGTTTGGTTCAAGAGTTTACGCTAACTGACGTTTGGTTCAAAAGGTTCTACTAATCCACTATAGAGATTTTTTAGTTTTAGTAGAGGTTTTATGGTGCTCACAAATGCATAAGGTCATGCGAGCGCCAGGAGATTAGAGGTGTTACAAGAGAGTAAAAAACATAAAAAAGAAGAAGTGGAAATAAGGATGAAAGATGTTTGATAGGAAAAAAGGAGCAAACCACACCAGAGCACCCGTCAACCACCCACATAGATCTTTTGGTTCAACAGTTCCCTCCAATGACGTTTAGTTCCTCAATCTCCCCTAAATGGCGTTTGGTTCTACAATTTCCCCGAAATGGCGTTCGGTTCAACTTTTCCACTAAATGGCAGTTGGTTCAAAAGTTTCTATTAATCGACTACAGAGCTTTAGTTTCAAAAGTTCGATCTAAATGGATTTGGTTGAAAAGTTTCCACCAATGGGTTTGGTTCAAAAGTTCCCGCTAAATGGTGTTAGGTAAAATTATAGTTTCCACTAAATGGCGTTTGGTTAAACAATTTCCATTAAATAACGTTTGGTTCAACAGTTTCTACTAATCCACTATAGAGCTTTTTTAGTTTTAGTAGAGGTTTTATGGTGCCCACAACTGCATATGGTCATATGAGCGCCAGAAGATTAGAGGTGTAGCAAGAGAGTAAAAAACATTTAAAAAAGAAGTGGAAATAAGGATGAAAGATGTTTGATAGGAAAAAAGGAGCAAACCACACCGGACCACCCGCCAACCACCCACATAGAGCTTTTTGTTCAACAGTTCCCTCCAAATGACGTTTGATTCAACAATATCAACGATATGGCGCTTGGTTCAAAAGTTTTCACTTAATGGCGTTTGGTTCAACAGTTCCCTCTAAATGGCGTTTGGTTCAAAAGTTTCAACTAATCCACTAAAGAGCGTTAGTTTCAAAAGTTCGCTCTAAATGGGTTTGGTTTCAAAAGTTTTCACTGAATAGGTTTGTTTCAAAATTTTCCCCTAACTGACGTTTGGTTAAACAGTATTCATTATAATATGGGTTTGGTTCAACAGTTCCGCTAAATTTGAAGTTTCCATGGATTCTTGATCTATGGAAATCACCAAACTTTGGCGGCCATTTTCTCGCTAATTTTACTTCTGACACCAGGCGACCCCACCTGCTTCAATCGCAAATATCTCGACTTCTATTCACAATAGATGGATATTTTTTTCACCAAAAGGGAGTCAAATGAACAGGCTTTAAGACGATACCAATAACTCCATAATATGCCCAATTTGACGAGCACCTGATTCCACAATGTCATGACACGTAGTTTACGATCCTCACAACAATTCGAATGACGTGCCATCATGTAACTGTTTGTTATCAAGAATATCACTGGAGAAAGTTAAAACACTTCATACTGTCTTAAAACAATGCTACACCTTCAGTTTTACGAAAAGAAAGCGAGACTCTGCAACACCTCTTTTGTGGACATTGCATTGGCTTCCTGTTCAGAAAAGAATTGTATACAAGTTGACCATTCTATGTCAGAAGGGCTTGAATGATAATGTGCCATCATATTTATCAAATCTGTTCCAAATCGCAGTATAAACTTATCAGTTCACAAAAACAAAATTATTTTGCCATGTATGAAGCTTAAAACAATGGCTAAAGCGCATTTGAACAGTAATGCCCTAAGATCTGGAATGATTGGCCAAATGCTTTAAGAGAGATCAAATCCTTTGATTCATTCAAATGTCAGCTGAAGCCATTTCTGTTTTTAAAACTAATAGATGAATATTTGGAATAATTTTCATTTGGTCAGAACACAACATTTTATGGTACCTTTGTTCAATGTATTGTATTGTAAAGCGCTCAGAGCCTGTGTACTTCAATCGGAGTTGAGTGGTATATATAATTGTG